TTTAAACTTTAAGAGAAGAAGATGTTTAGACGTGAGAGGGTCCAGATCATTGATGTCATCTGACGTCAACTCCTTGAATCCTATCATGATTCAAAGCAGCAAGAGCCTCCTTCAGTTCCCTTTCCGCCCCGATTAAATTGGTACCATTGTCTAATGTTAGGTATGCCACTTGTTCTCTCCTGCATATAAAACGCAGCAGAGCATTAATGCATACGTCTGTGGCCAATGAAACTTCTTCCTTCAGATGGACGGCCCTGCTTGCCCTACAGGTAAATATAACTCTGTATCGCTTACATGTTGTTCTTCCTCTCCTCACTTCAACTGATATAAAGTAATCTACTCCGCTGTTGGCAATGGTAGGAGATCAGGAAGGATTCTCACCTTTGGAAGATCAGCCATTTTTTGTTCCACTGTTCTTCCATTATAGTGTCTACAAAAGCTGCATTCAGCCATGATCTTCCTGACAACTGAATTAGCGTTGGTGATTCAAAACCTCTTCCTCACTTTGGATAGTATGAGAGTCTGTCCACCATGGCCCAGATTTTGGTGTACATGCTTGAGAATAAGCATAGAAACATTCTGCACCTTGGAGAGAATGAGAGGATGCTCAGCTTCCTCAGTCATTGCTCCTCTGCGCAATCTTCCTCTAATTCTCAAGAGTCCATCCTCCAAAGTTGGGTCCAGTCAATATATGACTCACTGTTGCTGCCATGGATGACAACGCAGAATTTTCTTCACTGCGTTTCTGTGACTAACAATAGCAAATGATGGTAGCCTCTGCTCCCAGTAAATCATCTAGCGCTAAAGTACTGGAAGCCACTGTGACCCTTTGTCAGCCTGCCTCTAACTGTTGTGACTGGTTTACTTTGGTTGGTTATCCACAGAAGCCTCCAACTGTTTTCTCAGGCGACTCTGGTCCAACAACATAAACTTTAACCTGAGAAACCAGGCAACTGCTGTCTTAAGCCTCCTCCAGTCCGAAAAGTAGGTAATGAGCTGGTCAGTAGGACTAGACACGTCGGACACACTAATGGCATTTACTGTTGCCTCTGTTCTGGCCTCTTGGTCATTAGAGTCCACTGAGAATTCCAACACAGTTGTAGGCCAATCCTCCTCATGCTTCCAAAGAAATGCAGGACCTTCAAGCCACCTGTTGTTCTTCAAAAAGTCAGAGATCTTCATTCCCCTCGATGAATCATCATCTTGATTGTCTTTGGAACAGACATGTCTCCACTGTGAGGGTTCAGATGTTACTCTGATGGTTGAGATTCCCTTTGCCACAAACATGTGAAAGCACCTGTCCTCATTATTAAGGACCAAAATACTGATTCCTTCAATGGTTCCAGCTGTTCCAGCTGTTCCAGAGCTGTTTGCCTTATGATATGAATGAGTTTCTGTTGATTAAACAAACAAATCAAACTATCTTTAGCACAACATAGGGCTGGGCAATTAATCGAATTTTACTTTCGATTACGATTTTGGCCTCCAACAATTATAAAAACAAGATAAGAGAGAAAAACGATTGTTGTGCCAGATTCTGTTTCACAACAAATTTCATCCCCGCTACAAAATCCATCCAACGTCATTGGCTCCGCTCTCGTTACTGAAGAAATTAGGAAAATAGATTTTGGATTTGTTATTGCAACATAAAAGGCAGCGCTCTCTATCAGTTTTCTACCGACTAGCTCGTAGCTCATCCGTCGTTGCGTCAGGTGTTTTGTATGCTGCAGCCTGGAGCCCACACACAGAGCTAACTACATCATACGAACATGGGTTAATGATGAAAACTGACCATTATCCAGCTGCTGGTTCTGGATGTGTTCTTAAATTCAATTTGAAATGGACAGGGCTCAGATATATTTAACTTATATTGTGTATAACAGGAAATACTACATCGCTTTTTGTTTTGAAATGAGAAATCGTACTGAATAATCGTGATCTCAATATTGATCATAATAATCGTCATTATGATTTTTGCCATAATCGAGCAACCCTAGAGCAACAGTGCTCAAAAACTGTTTGCCCTTCTGGGCCAAACACCTGACGACAACAGGTGCATTTTCTAACTATAGACCTGAACCCCCCATATAATAACACAGTGACGCCCAATGCACACAAAGTGAATAACAACTAAAGTCTGGTCATTCTAAACAACATATATGGCTCCTACAATCATCGATCTCTTTCAATAAATTCCTTCTTTGTTTTAAACTCCAGATTTTGTTGTTTTTTTTGTTTTGTTTTGTTTATTGTTTGACCAACTGTATTTTTCCTTCAGCTACATTTAATGTATGTGTTTATCTTTATTTTGAAGGTTGTATGTGTGAATAAACAAACTAAATTAAACTGAACGTGTTATTACATTTTACTCTGAATGATTCAACAGTAAAATTAGTTTTGTTCAGTTAACTCATGTAGTGAGAGTCTTCATGTGTTCTCAGTTGTTTTCCTCTCAAGTGTCATGTTCACAGGTAGAAACCAGTCTGACCAGTCTGACCTGAAGCGCTCAGCCCTGAACACAACTAAAGCAAAGGTTGTATTTTTTCTGCAAATACCTAAGAAAGGTGCGTTTCCTTATACCTTTGTCATGACTCATGATCTACCTGGACAAGTGTATTCTAGGTGGGAAATGGTTTAGAACAGTGACATGTGACTGTATTTGTGCTCTGACTTTCAGAGAACAGTCACCTGCATGGCCACAGCTCACACAGTACACTGTCTTTCATGTCAACAGTTACTGATTATTAATCAGCAGCATCACTTCCATCTGGCAGTGAAGCTCAGCACTTCCTGCAGGTGTTTCACATTAAAAGCTTTCAAAGCGATTGGTCTGACACAGCAGCTAAAAGCCATTAAAATCAAACCAGGAAAAGAACAGACCACGTCCTTGGAGCTCCTGGAAGGCTGCTTTTAAAGACCTGTTCCTCATAAGGACCTGGTTCTCATTAGGACTCTAACGAGGATCTCCGTGGAGGCAAATTAATTTTATGATTCATGTTCCGGTCATTTGTCTTTTGCATTTTGCTTTTAGAGATGAAAACAACCAATGAGCTGAAAGATCAAATAGCCATAGATTAATCAATACATTCAAATAGGGCTGGGGAATAATTACATTTAATTAATGAAGACAGCAATAATGTCAATGAAGTTATAATTCAGTTGTCCCCTCTGTGATGTCTTCACACTTCACAACACATTCTTGTTCTGTCAACTGAAAACTAATCATTAATGACAATGACATGAACAGTGGGGGTCAGCAGGGGCCCCGGGGCCCCTCAGGAGGTGAATCCAGACCTGACTTATATGAAACCTGAAAACCAGTCAGTCACTGATGATGAAATAAAACATGTTCCTGTTTCTCTTCAGCATTGTCTACATAATGAGATAATTCATCAGTTCATCTTTAATGAAAACATCACGTCGTGTCACGTGACTCCTCCAGACTTGCTTCAGACAATATGTCAGACAATATCAGAGGGAAAGCTACAAGAAGCCTTGGACAGAAGTTAACTACAATTACCCCCCCACCCCACACACACACACACACACACACACACACACACACACACACACACACACACACACACCTCCTCCTCCTCCCCCCACCTCCCCTCTTCAGTTTCTGTACCCTGCAGAGTCCAGTCTTAAGTCTCTGTCCTAATGCCCTCTGACATGAACCACGTGATTTAAATGATCACACAGGTTCTCACTACAAGGATGAAGTCTGATGAGAAATTGTGTGTCTTATCTCTGATGATATGATTATCTGATGATCCGACTCGGCCAATAATCAATAATCATACCTGTTAACGTACACACTGAATGATTCACACAACAGTTAATGAGTAGGGTCCGGGTCTTACTGTTGTTGGTCTCGTTGGTCCGTGGTTCCCAGGAGCCGTGGAGCGGGACGATGTGCGGCTTCTCCCCGCGGGCTTCCCTCTTCACCCTCCTGCGGTAAACCTTGAACTGGGAGCTGGGCTGGAGGACACACACGTCCCGCCCCTGGCTCTCACAGCTCACCAGCAGGCACTGTGGCCCACTGTCCTGCGGGTAACCCACCAGGGCCAGGTCACAGTTCGGTTCGTTGCAGCACGCCGCACGGCAGCTCTCCGGGTCCGTCACCTCCACCAGCTGGCCAAGTTGGAGCACTTTGACGCCGGGAGACGCCAGGTCCAGACCCTGATCCGGATCAATGCTCTGGTCCCAGTCACAGTCTAGAGCAACGCCAGACCAGACCAGGAAATAGAGCGCCAGTACACTGAGTCTCAACCTGTATTTGTTCATCTTTCTCCTCTAATATGGATCTGAAACTGGATGTAGATATAGTTCCAGTTCAAGTGTCGGACGCTGTATTTCCTGGTTTTAACTTTATGTCGCGTCAAACTGCGTCTGCTCCGCGGGAACGACGAACCACTTCTGTATTAGGTGGCTTTTTGTTGTCGCAGGTAAAATTACCTGAGCGACAGGTGCAGCCACGCCCACCCGCTTACGTCACACACACACACGCACTCTCTCTCTCTCTCTCTCTCTCTCTCTCTCTCTCTCTCTCTCTCTCTCTCTCTCTCTCTCTCTCTCTCTCTCTCTCTCCAGTATTACAGTTTTTCTCAGTCGCTTTGGTACATTTCTCGAATCATCCTCGACATTTGCAAAACAGTAAGTGAATTTCTCAAAACAATTCGTACAGATAGAAAACACCATGGATTACCTGCAAAAGCCAGTCTCTCAAAATCCTTAGTTCATCTCTCAAAAGTAAATATCTATGTCAATGAACATGTCACCGCCATCAGAATGACAAGTCCTTGTGTTATTGTGTACGGATAAGACAATCAAATTGCTTAGTCATGTTGTCAATATAACAGTGTACTCTGGAGGGATGTTCTGATGTAAACTATGGCTAAAGTTTTGATGACAATTATTGTAAATTGTAAGTTACACCTTAGTGTATGTGGGAGATTGATTGCAAGAGACTGGACAAGATTCACATTTACACTTTTACTGTTTGTACTGTAATTTGTTGACAGACCATGTCATTGCGATACAGAAAAGAAAAAGACAGCACTACATAGCACAAAGAAAAAAAGAAAAAAACAAAAGTAGAAATGTGAACATAGGACAATCTCCTTAGGGAAAACTGTACATGCAGTGCTGTAGGAATTACAGTGCAGTCTTCCTACACCTCCTGACGTTCCTGTCTGTTGGGCCACAAATTCTCATCCACATCACAACGAATATCTTCTCTTGCGATGCAGCGTGGAAAGAATCTTTTAGAGTGTCTTATCCAGCCTCTGCAGGCATCTGCTGTGATGTCATCACACGCTGTATCCATGGCAGCCAGAGGGGTCATCTGTGTATGTGGCTGGCGATCATATACTTTCCATCTCCATGCTGAGAAAAATTCCTCAATGGGGTTAAGGAATGGGGAGTAGGGTGAGAGGAACTCCATCAGCATCCTGTTGTGGGTCGCAAACCATTGCCTGATGATGTTGGAGTGATGGAAACTGACATTGTCCCAAACTATTACGTACTTTGGCAAGTCATCTCCAATCTGACCCCTCTCTTGTTCAGGGATGAGATCCCTGTAGAGAGTGTCTAAAAAGGTGACAAGACGCTCTGTTTTGTATGGCCCAATAATGGGAATATGCGTTAGCACACCATTCTCAGAGATAGCAGCACCCATGGTTATGTTCCCGCCCCGTTGGCCTGGCACATCAACTGTAGCTCTGTGGCCGATGATATTTCGACCACGCCTTCTGCGTTTCGTTAGGTTGAAGCCAGCCTCATCCATGTAGATGAAGTTGTGCGGTGGTTCACTTGCTTCCAGTTCCATTATACGCTATATCCAGAAGACACAAAATGAGTTTTATGAATTACATGCATTTTCATTTTGGACAAGATACAGTTACATCAAATGTATACAGCACATGTTGCATCTTCTTTTCTACAGCCATAGCAAATGTGTAAAGGTCACACTTACTGTACTGTATATCACTATACGATGTTGTGCTGTTTACTGTGAGGTACAGTTACTGCATGCTCATACATGTTTTACCTATACATACTGGTAGCGCAGCTCCTTCACTCTTTCACCATTTCTTTCAAATGGAACAGTGTACAGCTGCTTCATATTCATTTGGTGTCTTTTCAGCACCCTGTCAATGGTTGAGTTGCTGACTGTTTGGATGTTTTCAAAGATGTTGTTGTCCTCTATAATGGCACTCTTTATCTCCCTTAGTCTTATGGCATTGTTTTCTACAACCATGGTGCAAATAGCCTCCTCCTGTCCAGGTGTGAGAAGGGGCCCTCTGCCACCCCTGTGAAGTTGTATTGCAGTCCTATGTGGAAAAAATATAGTAATGCAAAACACAAAATTGAGTAAGATAAAATGTCACTGTATAAAATATACTTACTGTATATTGTAAAATGCGAGTGGAATACTGTAATATTGTATGAAGCATTATAGAAAGTATACAGCATTACAGTACAGTTCCTATTGTTAGATTACATACCTGTTCTGTCGACGAAAAGTCTGAATGATTGAGGACACAGCTGTTCTCCCAACATTTGGCTGCACCCTTCGACCAGCCTCGGCCATTGTAAGCCCATGATTGAGAACGTGGTCTACAAGTGTGGCTCTTATCTCATCAGGACACATGTCCTCAGCCTCTTCTGCCTCTTCCTCTGTTTTGCCTCCCAACTCCTCCGCCACGCAGCCTCACTCCTCTTCCTCTTCTTCTTCTCTCTGGCTGTTGACCCCGTCCAATTCTTTGTCCTTCCATTGTCAGACATTGTAACATTGTGTTGTGCTCCGGCTATATATATATATATATATATACTTGCCAGTTGATGGTTCATGAGATGCACCTTTGAGCTATTTCAAAAAACTGGTTGATCATTTGTTGATCTAATGCTTCACACATTTCCCTTCTTTAGAGAAAGTCAAGATTCACCTTCAACAGAGACCCATTATAATCCATTTTGATCAACATGACATAAGCAGTTGATAATGTAGGAAACAGCAGAGAATTGTACATAATCATTTGCATGGATGTACCAAAGCATTTGCAACTTGTTCAAAGAAATGAGAAACTGATGTGAAGATTGAACAAGTAGTTTTGAGAATTTCAATTCTGATCTGAGAAATGTACCAAAGCGACAGAGAAGAACTGTAAAAAAAAATCTTCAGTCACCATGAATGTTTCCAAATGCATCAGGGTGGAGTTATATATCTGTCACGTGTCTGTAGTCGCAGCCATGAAGTCTGCGTCAGGGATTCTTCCAGGGTCACCTTGGCTTCTCTCTTGGCCCTGGCTCTCTGAGTCCTGTGTGGAAAACAATTTTTCTCACTTTCTGAAAGAAGTTTCTCAGTTCAGGTGATTTTTATTTTGTGATATTGGCTCAGAGGAGACAGATGAGTCAGCTGAGATGACCAGCCGCACATCAGTGATAATCCTTCATGCTCACATACGGCTGATCAGACATGATGACATCACTGTTACATCATCATTGCTCTGCTCAGGCTCAGACGCAGTCACATGCTGACCTCATCTGCCAGGTGACCAAACAGAGATAATAACAAGTGTCAAATGTTGAACATAACTCTCGCTCAGGAGGTCATGTTTTCACCTCTGTCTGTTTGTCTGTCTGTCTGTCTGTCTGTCTGTCTGTCTGTCTGTCTGTCTGTCTGTCAGCAGGATTTTGTAAACAGTCCTGAACGGAAATTTGCACTGTACGTGGTGGAGAGAAGGATTAGGGCTCAGAGAATAACTCAGATATGAATCATTTACTGTGAATCTGGATTTTTTTTCTGGAGTCTGGTGGGTGTTGTCTGCTCTTGGTGGAGGTCTGCGCTCTAAATGAATGTGGATTGTGCTCTCTGGGAGGTTCACTAGTGATGTCTCTGTTTTCATTGCAGCTTTAGCACGGACACACCTACAGCTCACCTGTTTACCACCAGGTGCCGCAGCTGCTTCACTCTGTCAGCTCTTACATGTGTTCTGGAAACAGGAGCGCTAGGACCCTGCAGTCCTCTCATGCTGCATTCATGTCTACTTGTAAACTTGTACATCACATAAAAAACGTTTGCTGCTGCTTAAAAACCACTTTTGGTTTTAACTGTATTTATTTCACAGTGTAACGAAGTGGGGCTTCACATGGCTGCTGATGTAAAATAATCAGTGTGTTTTTTCACTTTTTCATCCTCTTTTCACTTATAAAATCGAAGGAACAGAAAACCAGTTGTTATCTCAGTCATTGTCTTACTGTGTCCATCACTTTAATCTGTTATTATCAGTTATTATTGATTATTATTTTTAACAGTCAGAATCATCCACAAAACAACAAACAACAGTAGCTGATTTGAGATTTGTGATGTGCAGTTTTCTCTAACAGACATGGTGACGTCATACAGGAAAGAAGCCGAGGCCAAGTTGAAACACCTCAGATCTAAAATATAAATGTTTGCAAAAAATGTTTTATTGCAGAACAGGAATTAACAGTGTGATGCCTCTGAGGTGACTGGTGGTCACCACAGGACTCGCTGCTGTTTAAATCAAAGACGGTGCACACGGTTCATCTGTCCCAATCTCTGTCTGGATATAATAAATCCCGACAGCACGTGAACGCAGCAGCAATAGCCCTGCTCCGTTTCTGTCGGTTTCAGTCTGCACGCGACACAGCGACTGTCGTCTGGTTTGCAGACAAGCCTCTGTTTTTCTACTAGTTTTTTCTCTGCGTCTGTGGATTCTTTATTGTTCTAATCTAAAACAAAATTTTACGCGATTTTTAAAGGAATAAAATGGGATTTTACTATCATTATTATTGTTATAATAAGTAATAATAATTATAATAATTATATTTATTGTTTTTTATTATAATTGTTAGTCTTTCTCTCTGACTGCAGCAGATTTCCTTTTATCCTCTTGATTTTTTTTGTCTTTCATTAAAAACAGATTTTTTTCTTAAATCAGTCTTTTGAATATTTTTTTTATTTTTGGATTTTTTCGGGGTCTCTTTGTTGGTCTCTGTCCGGGTCTGTTAGGCCCAGATGGCGGCTCACCGGGTGGGTCGTAGGGTGAATAAGGTGTGCAGTAATCAGTCACCAAGTCATGCCAGCGGCGGGCGGGACCCGGGTCAGAGTCTGCAGCGGCGGCAGGCCCGGGTCACCGTCAAATACAACCGCAAAGAGCTGCAGAGGAGGCTGGATGTGGAGAAGTGGATCGACTGTGGACTGGACGAGCTCTACAGTGGGAGGGTGAGTAGTACAGTTGGCTACAACTGCAAAATACTATGCCACCAGTAGTTCGTGGTACTGAATTACTGCAGTACTACAGCATATTATACAAGAATAATACTACTAATATTCCAATATTACTCCTAACACTAGAGTAAGTACTACTGAAAGTACCCCACTGCTGCTGCTTGTGGTACTGAAGTACTGATTGAAGGATACTGTAACTTTATACTTCTACTGGTGCTTGTAACTGACCCAGGATCAGAGTTTTCATGATTAATGTGACTCATTATAATTTAACACAATTAAATCAACATGTTAGCTGAGCAGAGGTCAGGACATGGATGGATTATGAGAACATGTGCCCCAGTGTACAGACAGGTAAAAGTCCCCCCACCCTTTCAACTGTAGGATCCCAGAACAGGAGAGACACAAAACACCTGCATGGAGTGTAGTTTTTTTTCTCTTCGAACATATAGCAATATTAATATACATAGGAACATTAAACATTGAAAGGCTATAGAGTGCCATGTCTTTAACCCAGATTAGCATCCTGCAGTATACTGAGTGTTAACTGAATGTTAGCATGATGCAGTAACCTGAATGTTAGCTAAATGTTAGCATCCTGCAGTAAACAGTTTTACTAGCGTAGGGACTGTATTGTCAAACTCTGGTTAAGTGCTACACTTTCATGCACACACCATTTCATCAGGATGGAAGACAATTGTTTCAGAGCTAAGCACACCTAATGAACACACCTTTTTACACCATGGATGCCATGAACGCAGCATTTTTGTTGCAGGGAAGGAGTCAGCCTCATGGAGCTCTTCAACATACAGCTAACTGTTAGCAAATCATGATGTAATAATGAGTGGGACAGAAGTAAGTGCTGAAAACACATGCAATATTATGATTATAATTTTAATTATGGTGAAAATCAGGACAATTTGGTTGAAAACTGAACGTTAGCTGAATGTTACCATCCTGCAATTAACTGAATATTGGCTACAGGTTAGCCTGCTGCAGTAAACTGAATGTAAGCTAAAGGTTAGCATCCTGCAGTAAACTGAATGTTAACTAAAGGTTAGCATCCTGCAGTAAATTGAATGTTAGCGGAATTTTAGCTGAATGTTAGCGTGCTGCTATAAACTGAATGTTAGCTAAAGTTTAGCATCCTGTAGCCAACTTATTGTTAGCTGAATTTTAGCTGAATGTTAGCATCTTACAGTAAAGTGAAGGTGAGCTGAGTGTTGGCGTCCTGCAGTAAACTGAATGTTAGCTGAATGTTAGCATCCTCCAGTAAACTGAATGTTAACCTAACGTAGCTTGCTGCTGTAAACTAAATGTTAGCTAAAGGTTAGCATCCTTCAGTAAACTACATGGTTAGTTAAAGGCTAGCTAGCTGCAGTGATTCACTCTGATGTGTAACCACTCTGAGTTGATCTGAGGTGAGATCATCGTGGTGTGAAAACATTTAAAAACATTAACATCACAGAAACAGAAGTATAGCGCATCAAGATTTTAAGTTCTTGTTACCTAAACTAAACCAGGGTTTAACAAGACTTATTTTTTAGAATCATCTTCTAAAAATGTCACTTAAGACTTCATAAACTGTCATAATATAAAATAAAATAGTCCATAACAGCTGTATATTTTCCCTCTGGGAGTAGGCAGACAGATACTTTGGTTTTTAGAAACCCTTTTAATACCAACACCAACAAACAGAAATAATCTGTTGCCAGGCACCATGACATTAATATCACAAACATTCTGAATTAGGGCAGACAGATTATTATTAGATTATTTCAGATGAATGTTGGAATGATAAAATAAAATAAGATAAGACAAGATAAGGTAAGATAAAATAAGATAAGAAGATAAGATTAGATGTACCTTTATTGTTCCCCTGTAGAGGAAATTAAAATTTGACACAGCAGCACAAAAGAAAAACAGTGCAAGGGAAAAATGAAATTAGAAAGAGAGAGTCTCAGCAGGGCCTTCACAACTATGTTGTTGTTTATCAGACAAAAATGACCATACTAGGTCTGACATGCGGTTACTGGGAAGTTTGCTGGGCAGAAGTGATTCCTCCCAGTATCTGTTTGTTGGACTGTGACACAGAGGAGATTATTTTGAGGCTCAGTGGAAACAGCCAGAGCTATTCAACTGGAGATTTAAAGGTAAAGCAGAGGAAGAGTTAAAAGTCATAACAAGAGCTGACAGCATGAACACTGCTGCGGGGGAAAGAGTGTGTGTCTCTGTGTTACTCTGAGTGTGTGTTTATGTTTGTGTGTAACTAGTACAGCTCAGCCATGCAGATGCATGTGCGTGTGCACGTATTATCTAAACTCCCACCGAGAAGAACCAAGCGAAGCAGCTGTTTATCTAAATATGGACACATTACAGTCAAGTGTGATTCATTGATGTTGTTTTAATTGCTATGTTTTTGTGTAGGTGATTTTCCATCAGGTCGTTACTATGACAAGGATTTGGTGAAACAGTTAAAATGATTATATCGGGCCCATGCTATCTTAGCAATAATTCTGATGTATCTCATCCCGAACATGGACACAGTTTTGTTACACAACAGCATTTGCACTGCTGTGTGTTTCAAGGACAAAACATGAGACGCTATGTTGATAAAAAGAAGGTTGGAAAAGATCCTGTGGCGTAGCGCTCTTTCTGCCTATGAGACCATCTGCATTGTGATCGAGCAGAGGGCACTCTAAAACTTCACTGTCAGCCTGACCTATGTGGTTGACATCATTAAACTACACAGATAGTAACGTTACCTTGGGTTTTTTTTAATTGGAGGACACTATCAAAGCCGTCCTGAGCAGACAATCACAACACCAAACCATCTGAGAAGTAGAGTGTGGAAGTACGATTTTACACCATGGATGTTTGTGGACTTTGGACAAAGCAGCTGTCTTACAGTACAACAACAACAAATGTGTGGACTCATCCCAGGTGAAGCACCATGATGATGAGCAAAGTTTGACTGCCGACTATACACACTCAGCTTAAGAATATTGAATAGAATATACAGAATATTTTCAGCTCTTTATCTTCCCGTCAAAACAAACTGAAGTTTACATTTAAACATTTAAGCGGGTATTGGATTGTTTCAGTGGGAATATTTAAGGTGTCCAAAACACGCTTTTTCTGCTGGTCCTGGTGCACAGCAGCTCATCCCTCTGCTAGTGTTTCCTGCTACCTCTACTAAATGGCAGTGCTGATCTAATATACTGCAGGTAATACACTGCATGCATGACTACCTCACACAACCCCATGTCATATAACCCCAACTATCCCTTTAAAAAGCAGAGTATCTGGTGATAACGAACTGTGTGTGTACTAGTCAGTTATAACTGACCGTGTGTGTATATGTCCTTGTAGTTAAACTGCAGCCTGTCTCTGGTTCTTTTCAATGAAGGTAAATACAGTGATGTACATGTGTAGTGGCACTGCACTCTGTCAAGGCTCTTCTCAGAGGCTGCAGATTAACAACATGTTAGTCATGCTGCCTTCAGAGGCTACAGGGATTGACTGAACTGAAGAAGCAGCTTTTCATACAGTATAAAACAGCTATGGAAGAAGATACTGGAAGAATCACCCATGTAGTACATGCTCAGGTCTCAGTTTACTGATATTTCTCAAGTGGAAAAAACAAGATCTGGTCAGCTGTTTAACAAGGGTGTTGAATAATGATCAAATAAATTACCAGCAGAGGGATCTTGCGGGCAGCCTTTTCTGTAGCAGCCGTTAGAGCCCCTGTCTCATCAGCAGTGAGCTGTCACAAACTTTCCACTGTCCAATCCCTAAAGTGTTAGTCTAGGAGCTTAGGCGCTTCTTTGAGCCTCTGTAGGTTTGAATGAGAAATATAGTTGGATATCATCTGTAAATAAATTATATTAAATCTGTTTATAAGCTGTCCCAACATCAGAAAATATAAAGTGAATAGCAGGGGCCCCAGACTTGAGCCCTGCAGGACCTCACAAGTCAGTGGAGAGGAATCAGTTACAAAGTCTCTGATACCCTTTTTCATCAAAATTAGCAGTTATAAGCAGGTTTTTTTTTTTTTTAAAAACTCGGGTTAACCAGCTAATACAAGCCAATTGACCTCTTTTCCACTGCCAGTTGAGTTTGCTTTTCTCTTCTGTTCAGACTGAGGACACACAACTGCAAGGAGTGATGTCATCACATGCCCTTACAGAGCACACACACAGAGGTAGTGTGAGCGTCTAGCCGCCATGTAAACTGGTAAAATAGATCTTTTACATCTCGTCCCCGGGTTATTGCTCATGTAAGAGTGTTGGAGCCTCCATATGAGATGCTTCAATCACTCAGTCTTCCATCCCCGGAGCTGGAGCTGATAAATACCTGCTTTTACTGCAGAGTCATTTGACCCGGGTGTGAATGCTGATTGAATGATTTTGACCAGTGGAAAAGGGGGTTGATAGAGACAGTGAAACTTCTGTCAGCGAGATAAGATGTTAACCAGTCTAATGATAGACTTGATACACCCACACAGTCAAGTAGCCTCTTAATATAATGGTTTACTGTGTCAAACAGAACAATCAACTGCACCAGTGGAAATTTAAATATCATCAGAAATCAGCAGTGAGCTGTTTGAACATGTCTGATAAAGATGGAGGAGCAGGATTTAGGTCAGGTCTCTTTAAAATGGGCTGGATAGTCACAGTAATGAGTCACATGATCAGACTGTTTACATGAGCTCCACCTCTTACACACACACACACACACACACACACACACACACACACACACACACACACACACACACAGTAACATTGTGTATGAGATGGATCAGGTTACACACACTCTCCATCACAGTGTTTCATTATCACCATCTCCCTTTAAAATAAAAAAAACCTGGTTGGTTGTGTTACTGTAGTTTTTATCAAACTCACACAGGAGGAAATAGTGCGTTCATCAAGGACTAGTTTCAGTGGCAAATTGATCCAAATGTGTTGAACCAATGACCAGAGCATCCTGTTTCCTGTCATTTAGAGAACATGGTCTGTTCTCATTCAAACATCATCTCTGAGGAGTTCAAGTGTTCATTACTGTAAGTCGTCATCAGGAGGAACATTTACTGTGGGAGCAGCTCTCAGATCTGTTCACATTATTAATCACATGCATTATCATGCACATTTTTTATCTTACATCTGCAGGGATGTGTCATTCTACTATCTTTGTGTAATTTAAATATATAATTAATATATATGATATTTATAACAATCATGTGTGTTTTATGTGTATGAGGATGAAATGATAGGAAATTTAAATGAAAACAAAATGACTGGAACAGGAAATAAATTCAGCTGCTGGAAGAAACTGAAAATATATAAAACTGAGGCTTTAATGTCAGATAGTCAAAGATACATGGGAAGTGATTAAATAGCAGCTTTATTCCTGTTTTTTAAAACCACTGAAACAAACAGAAAAATGTTGGAACATTATATCTAATGTTTAGATCAAATGCAAATAACAGGCAAATCCTAGTCTCAGCGATAGACATAGTTTCAGTGTTATTGATCAGAACTAGTCATGTTGTCTTGGTGCTCAGAGGTAACAATCATTTTACTGAAGCAACACATTCATGAACAGCAGCAGAGTCACAGTCTGGAGGAGATGGTCCAGGTTGCTGGAGGACTCGAGTTCAGGGCTGAGAGTCCTGTCTGGGTCAGACAACAACAGCTCCCTGGTTCAGGTCAGTTGAAGATGGTGGTTTAGGTTCAATGTAAATATCATAAAGTGAACTGTTTCTGTATTAAACCAGACCAGGATCTTTAACCTTAACCAGGTTCTGTGAGGGTCTGAACAGTACCATCACTACAGGTTGTTCTGTCAGATCAGATATTCAGGTGGAAAACAAACAAATATTAACGTGTCTGTGACAAACAGATGAATTAACAACACTTCCTTACGATGATACAGAACAACACTACAACAGTAAGGGAGGTGATGTTTGTGTAGAGTGTAGTACAGTGTAGAGTGGTTACTGCTGTAACTCTGATCCTCAGCTCCCCTTATCAGAAAACATTTCATCCCTCCTCCCTGCATCCATCCATTCATCCATTCATTTATTCATCCATCTGACTCGTGAAGTGTTTTAAAACCCACTTGATTTATTAACCCGAAGCTCCAAGGAGGGTGGAGTTATTGACATGTCAGAGACACTGCATTAGAGGAAGGTTGATGATGAAGGGGGAGGGACTGGTTTGTCTTTGTGTTTAGGTTCAAACATACAGACACACACACAAACACACACACACACACACACACCCACACACACACACACACCAGCCACGCCCTCCCTGAAACACACACACAGTCATTATACTTGATTAATATCAGGAGACAAATATTATTATTACTTTCCTTCTCCTCCCCCTTAGAACAGTCTAATGTACGTCAATGCAGTGTGTGTGTGTGTGTGTGTCTGATCAAGGCGTGGTTGATGTGTGTGCTTGGTGATAAATAAATAATCAGATCTACCTCTTTGGTTCATTTCCTGTCACAGGCCCCATCTGGACACATACACACTTACACACACATACACACACACACACTGTATTGTTCCCATGTCCCTGTGTTGTTCCTATGTCCCAGTATTGTTTCCATGTCCCTGTGTTGTTCCTATGTCCCTGTATTGTTCCCATGTTCCTGTATTGTTCCCATGTCCCTGTATTGTTCCCATGTCCCTGTGTTGTTCCTATGTCCCTGTATTGTTCCCATGTTCCTGTATTGTTCCCATGTCCCTGTATTGTTCCCATGTCCCTGTATTGTTCCCATGTCCCCTTATTTCTTCCATGTTCTTGTGTTGTTCCCATGTCCCTGTATTGTCTCCATCTCCCTTTGTTGTCCTCATGTCCCTGTGTTGTTCCAATGTCCCTGTACTTTTCTGAAGCCAATCCCATCTGAGACTGAGCGAGGGCGGGGTACACCCTGGACAGGGCACCAGTCCATCACAGGGCTAACATATAGAAACAAACAACCACTGACTATGCAGCCAACAGGGGGTGCTGCTGTGACAGGCCGTTACACTCATTTCCAGCTCCAGGGCAAAACTAATGGCAGGAAAGTGCATCAGTGTCACATGTTCATGTTTTTTGACATAATTTTCATACTTTTCCTCCAGTGTTTTATCCTGATTCTCAGATTCCAACACATGTGACATGTGATGCACTTTCCTGCCATTAGTTTTGCCCTAGAGCTGGAAATGAGGGTAACGGCCTGTCATGGCAGCACCCCCTGCAGGCTGCATGGTGTATTACAATCCCTGCAGCTGGTCCTGGAGACTTAACAGCAGCAGTAACTGATATTGTCTGATGTTGTTTAGGAGGAGGAGATGCCAGAGGAGGTGAACATCGATGAACTGCTGGACCTGAAGACAGATGAGGAGAAGACACACAGACTGCAGGTAACTCTATTATTAATGATAGGTGAATATGTATGTCGTCCTCTCTGTGTCTCATGTGTTTGCTCTCTGTGTTCACAGAACATCCTTCACTCCTGTAACAACAGCACAGAGGTAAGAACCCCAGAGCGGCTGCTTCCACTTCTCAACTACAGCTCTCATTTAACTTCACTGATGCAGCACGTTCTGTTCAATCTGCTTTTCGCTCTGACAACCAATCACAGTTCTGTGGTCAGGGTTAAATGAGGGGACGTCACCCTGTGTCACACTTCATCCAGCCTGAGCATGAAATGCATTTTAGAGGAAACATGAGACTCATGACTCAGTCCCACACACACCATCCTGCTGCTGCAAATACTCAATACAGTACCAAAAAGTGAATTAATCCACCTCTGAAAATAGTCCTAACCCTAACCCATCCCACTAGCTGTTTTAGGAAATTACTGAGCCTTTTTAAAACATTAAATAGATATTGATGAGGTGTTTATAAAGATTTCTATCTTCAGTAGGATGCAGGAGGTTTGGAACTGAGAGCCACAGACCCTGACTGTTGGTTTGAGTCTCAATTTTCAGAAAGCTGCTGGTGTTTAAGTGTGTGAGTGTTGATAATAGCCAGACTCAAAAGCATGTATGTCTCCACCTGGCAGGTGTTCATCAATGAGCTGGTGTTCAAACTTCAGGGTTTACAAAAGCAGGAGGATCTGCACAATGATGGCATCGACCTCCCTCAGCTCCACATCTACCCCAGCCACTCTGGATCAGGTGACAGGGAGGTGCTGCACTGAGACAGCTGGTTCTCTTTCTCCTGGTTCCTGGTTGTCCTGGTTCTCTCTCTCCTGATCCCTGAGGTTCTCCTGTTTTGTACATTTGTAGCTATCATTTACACATCCTGTATTGTTTGTACATCATATGGAATAAATCGCAGTATTTGAAATGACTTCTGTTCTTGAAGGATCGTTCTGATTTATTTTCTCTTCTTATTCTGTGAGTCACAATGTTCTCGCCACAGTAACAGCTAAGATCTGAAATGGTAAATTTGAGAACCCATCAGTTTTCAGGCTCAATCACAGCCACCACTCAGCTGCAATACTTTCTTGTTGCCTCTGGACCACACCACAAGACTAGAATCCAAACCCTGCACAGATCATGCATGAGGTTTCAGACCTGTTGTTCCTAACCCTAGTGTAACCCCTTCCCAGATTCCAGTCTTTATTCATCAGTTTTTGTTATGTTTTTAATAAATCATCATTAAGGAGCTCCAGGGAACCAGTGGTCTAAACTCACCCAGCTGGTGTGCTGGACCTACTGGTCCTGCCCCTCTGAGGGGGTAACTTATCTTAGGGCTGCAGCTCACTCTCAGCTGAGGGTGTAACCGCATTGTTTCTGGTTTAACAGCTGGACATGTGTGTTTGCAGTGTCTATTCTGAAAGAGGTCACAGCATGAGGATAGTTACATCAATGCTGATCGGAGGTGGAGCTTAAAACAATCGTGTCATGTGACCTCAGAGCCAATGACAATTGTACCCTATCACTCTGACAAGAGAAGCCAGATGTTAACAGATGTTAGCAGGATTTTGCCCAGTATAAAAGATAGAAAGATAGATAGATTGAGCTCATTGTTGATAATAATAATAACAGTTAATAATAAATAAACAATAATAATTAAATTAGTCCACTTCCTCTAAGGATCCCCTGAACCTCTCTGTTCTGCAGCGTAGTGAGAGACAAGACGCGCGAGAGAGAGACATTGGCTGTGCTTAGACCTCCGAAAGTCCATGACCATCTCCTTGGTCTTGGAGGTGTTCAGAAGGAGGCAGCTCTTGTTGTTCCATTCACTGAAGGCCATCATCAGATCCTTGTACTCCTCTTCCTGCCCGTTCCTGATACATGCCACAACAGCTGTGTCATGCAAGTCTTTCTGGATGTGGGAAGACTCAGAGTTGTATTTGAAGTCGACCGTATACAGGGTGAACAGGAACAGAGCCAGATCAGTCCCCCATGGAGCCCTAATGCTCATCACTGTCTCATCAAGAGTCAAGAGGCCCCAGAAGTGAAAAGTGTGTATTTCAAACCTCACTTACTATCCACATTAAGTTTATTGTCGATGTATGTGAAAAACATTGTCATTACACAAGTACGCCTCAGAGCTGCAGGGTCAGGGTCTCATATTCAAAAGGAACAAATTCACCCAAACCTAAAATAAGAAGCAAGGACCAGGCGAGTCTCCAAAACGTCCTTCAGTAAAGAACTGAGATCACACTGAAACTTTAGTTTTTTATTATACGCATATCCATGTATATATCTATATCTATTTTAAAACATTGTGCATGAATAAATATGAATAAATAAACAGTACAGAGGAATGACTGAATGAATGTGAGGTTTTCTGTTTATACTGTTGATATATTGATCACACTGAGCCAGGCAACAATATCTGAGCTCATCAGATATCTGATGAATCTGTGAATAATAGGTTGAGTCTTATCAATAACTCTGACTGAACAGTTTTTCATTATAATTACTTCTTTTCCTAACACTCACATGGTACTTATGCTGCTTAGTAAATCATTGATTAATTAATTAATTAATTAATAATTCATAATTAATTAATTCTGAAAATAGTACCTATTAGTTACTGGATAAATTAAGAAATGAATGTTCAGAGCTAGAGTGGATGACATCATCGGTAGAGTGGGAGAAGCTCTAGAACTCCTCTGAAAAAATTCTGTTTAACTTGTCCTGCTGGCCACATATTTCAGTCTACACACATCATGGCTTCCTCAATAGTAGACAAATTTGTCCTGTTTCATAGAATGTGTCTACCTAAGCACAGAGACTTCCAGAATTTGAACACGTGCCTCAAAACGATGGGAGTACCCTCCACCTCTCCCATTAACTGCAATACAAATTCAGGAGCTGATTTCCAAAAAAAGCAGAAGTGACATTTTTCTGTAACTTGCTCCTGTGTCCACATTTTTAGCTCGAACCAGCTCATTAATAGACTCTTTGATCTCTGTGATGTTTACAAACACAACCACACACACACACACAGACACACACACACACACACACACACACACACACACACACACACACACACACACACACAGAAAGCTGTTTACAAATTAGTGCTCATAGAGAGAGATTACAGTTCAGACTGGACAGTAAATTCAGTAGCAGACATTGAATTTACTTTCAGCTTTCAGCTACAACAGCAGGTCTCAGGTCTCAGCAGGTGCTACTAACGCAGTACCCGAGCAGATATGGACAAAGCTGATTCTTATTGGCTAATTGGAAATTAGGTTGTGAAGCCATCAGTGTGAGGTTATTTTGGCCAGTCGTGACAGCTTCAAAAGGCTTTGTGAGGGACACCTGCAGTGACTGAGGTCAGTGTCAGGATTAGTCTCTACGACATGAATGAAACTGAAAGTAACGTCCTTTGTACAGATTGAAACGTGAGGAGTGAAGTACACGCACCAAGCATCAGGCACATTCAAAATTTCTCCAGGAATTTTTAAAGTTATTGTTTAAAGTGCATCAGTGCTTTTTAAACTGAAACGTTTCAGCTTTAATAATTAGACCCTCAGAGGAACCCGCCAAAAAAAAAAGATTTTATGAAGTTTCTGTCACAGCTGATGTCCGTATTCAGGATCCATCACTCGGTGTGTTAAACTTAAACTGGACTGACCTGTAACACACACACACACACACACACACACACACACACACACACACACACACACACACACAAGATATTCAGTGGGTATTTCTAAACAACATCTCGATACATAGCAACACAACGTCTGTAACATTTGACAGAACATCTGGGTACACAGACAAACACTGACAAAATTAAATAAGAATAACAAGATATCTTTACACTAACATAAATGTGACCTTTGTTCTGACATATGAACAAATTAAGGTTTTTTCTCCATAACATAATGAAAACAAGAGCACACACGCTGAGGACCCTCACTGTCCTAGACCTAACTCTAATCTGGACCCCAATCTGAACCCTAGACCTAACTCTAATATGGACCCTAATCTAGACCTTAATCTGAACTCTAATCTGAACCATAAAACCTCATCTGGACCCTCATAGAGACCTTTGAAGGACAGAACACAATAACTATCCATACAGAGACAAACGTGTATTAGCTCACAGACCTTGTTGTGGCAGAATCCTTGACCAACGATCAGTCCCAGCAGTGAGTTGAGGATGTTGGCTGCACAGAGGACAGTCTGCAGTGCACTGGTGCCCCCCATCACACTGAACAGAACTACATTCCATTCAACTACAGCTCGTGGCTGCAGACATACTCCAGACCACAGAGTCCTGTTGTACAGATACCCTGAGTGACTGAAACACCAACAGAGACCAGGGACAGAGATTCAGCAGGGACTCAAAACAGCTGGATGATTAATAATCTGTGTGTTTGTGTGTCTCACCTGTCAGCCAAGGGTTTCAGTGGGACCCCCCAGGTTGTACCAGTGGTGGTGTTGTAGAGACAAAGGGGGCCCTGAACAAGACCAGTGGCACTGACCAAACAACAGCTACCAGCAGCCAGCAGACACACACAGGAGTATGCCACATGAGACAACATCTGTATACAAAGAAATCCGCTGTAACACCTGACACATCTCGATGCACAGAAAACAGCTGTAACACCTGACACAACATCTCGATGCACAGAAAACAGCTGTAACACCTGACACAACATCTGGATACACAGAAAACATCTGTAACACCTTAGAAAACAGGTGTAAAACCTGACACAACATTGCAAAAACTGGCACACCTGTAACACCTGACACAACATCTGTGACACCTGACACAGCATCTGGATACACAGAAAACAGCTGTAACACCTTAGAAAACAGGTGTAAAACCTGACACAACATTGTAAAAACTGGCACACCTGTAAAACCTGAGACAACATCTGGATATGTAGAAAATAAATAACACCTGAAACAACATCTGGATACACAGAAAAAACATCTGTAACACCTGACAACATCTGTCACAAATGCTGTGACAAATGACACACCATATGGATACACATGAGACATCTGTATCACCTGACAAACAACTGTAACACCTTATTTATCTGTAACACCTGACTCCATATCTGGATTCAGAGAGAAACATCTGTAACACCTGGCAAACCATCTGGATACAGACAGACATATATTACACTTGACACAACATCTGGATACAGTGAGAAAGAGCTTTAACCCTAATATCTGCCAACAAAGAGAGAGAAACATCTGTGACAACTGATGTAGCAGAGTCAATGATTTGACTTTCCATTACTTTACTATTCAATTTTTGTTAACATTTAATGATGTATTATTATTCATTAATTTCAATGACTAATTTCCTATGGGCCTGGTTTGTTGTGTATAACATGAGCCCCCACTGCTGGGCACCTGCAGACTGGAGCAGGATGCCCCACATGTTACATAATTTGTTGAGCTCATTATGTTATTGATGACTTTGCTATATTGATTGTAGTTTAATATGTTTTTATTTTTTTTAGTTTAATATTAACTCTCTTGTTATCAGAATAAATGGCTGGTTGGCATCTTAAACAATGATGATTGTGCCTGATTCATCACACAATGCAAGAGAGAGTACACAACTGCAACACTGACACAACATCTGTACCATTTGTAACATAATTCACCAGCTGCTGCGATTTAATAAACCAATCACATTTTCCACCATCCGAGGTGAAACAACAGTCTGAATAAAGCAACTGTAACAAAAGTAGGGTGCACCCTCAACTCACCTGACTCCTGAAAGCACAGCAACCTCTGGTTCTACTGCTCTGAACAAACACTCGAGCTCCCAGTAAAACCTGAAACCAGACATGAAGTCAGTAGTGACAGCAGCAGTTCAGCTTTAATCTGACTCAACCTCAGAAGAAAACAACATGTACATGTGACAACACACAAATACAGTGTGAAGGATGTATGAGGAACATAAGTCACATCACATGACACAGACATGTATGTACCAGGAAGCCTGACCCCCACAGGCCTGTGGCCCAGGTGGCCTCTCTAGTCACGTGACCCTCCAACAGGAAGTGGATGTTAAGTTCAGGAATCAGCAGAAGGATGTTAGACAGCATGCAAACTATCGCCATTGGAACCAGAGACATGCCGACACACAGCAGACATCTCGACACACACATCTGTCAGACATCGAAGAGTTAAACAGGTTAACTAGGAATAGGAGTCTCATCTTCATAAATGCTTGTAAAATCATTGGTATTGATAGAATATTTCCGTATAGATGATTCTGTGATTCTGCCTGTTACTTAAGAGCCAGAAACCGACCAATTAGCTTATAAAGTGTTTAAGTTTCACAAGTGATCAAACAGACACAGCGTTAACAACACAGAGCTATAACATTAATACTGTTGGAGTTCCTATGGGCTCTGTTGTTGGTCCTTTATATTTCTAATATACATGTTAGTTTGAAACATCCTGATTTATTTTTCCATTAACCATCCCAGCTGTTCACACAGACTGTCCTTCCTAAAACACGACTTCCCATACTTTGTTTGTGTAGTGTTTACCTGTGTGCTTGTATGGATTTTCTAATCTGACGTCTCTATGTTTATGGGTTAGTTCAGTTTAGATTAACAGAATAATTTGGTTAAAGCTGCATTCATTAAACGTTCTGGCTGCTTTGCGCCAAACACAATTTGGAATTAATCCCTGTATGAATGTTCATAATGTTATGAGTTAAAATCTCATTAATCAGCAGCTGAAAATAACATAAAGTAGAATCTTTGAACCTTAACTAGCTCCTGAGGGAAATATCTGGCTCTTTAGGTGCTAAATGCTAAATATTTTGTCTTGTCTTGAGTGTCTCTGTGCGTGAATCATTGTCACATGCTGGTCTGGAGAATGAGCAATAATAAAAAGAGTTCACTCACCATGAAGAGCTGCTGCTGAACACACTGATGATCCAGTTCAGACTCAGTCTGAGGAACAAATGTTTATAAACTTCTCAACAGAGGCACAGACACGCCTACACCCATATATGGAAACAAGAACCACCCTGAGGTAACAAACAAACCTAATCAAAACTCAGCAAATACACACATACTCTGCAGGTAGGTCAGGTGTGTGGGTTTCTGCAGCACTGGTCGGGCCTCGGGGTCCAGGTGTTCCCTCACGAACCAGATCTGTGTAAAGATCAGTATAGTAAGAGACAGATGATGTAAAAGATAAAGGCAGTGCATCAGCTGCTCAAACTCATTCAGGCTTATTCTGAAGAAAGGGTTTTTCAGCAGAGAAGAAGAACAGACAACAACAAATAAAATAATAAACTGTCTCCCAGTGAGTAAACTAAGTCTCTGTGGAGAAGCTTCAGTGAAACCAGACCTGTGTGTACTCTCACAGCTCAGTTTGTTGCTGAAGTTCGGTTCAGGATTTATCTGGATCCATTCTCCTCCTGAGTGGATCCTCTGACCGTGGTGAAAAGTCACCATTTTAAATCCCTGTACAGGTTTTATGGGCATGAATCCTTTAGAGTTTGAACTGGTACAATGCTCCAGTACAAGAGCCAGAATGCCTCAGATCAGCAACAGGTAAGGAGGTCATAGGTCAATGAGGCAGTAAACAGTGGCTGTGTCCAAATACATCCTCAATCCTATACACTATGGCTATACAGCTAATGATGCTACATCTACGAATGATATTTGATGATTAAATATTACTATATTTCGACATCAACCCAGTCACGAGCAGAGTGTTAAGACCGGCCTACTGTGAGTTGCGCTGTAGCTGAGGACCTTGGTTTAAACCCAAGCAGCTGATATTGCCTGCTAACCTGACGACGCAGCTCTGAGTGGGACCTCTTGGAGGCAACGTCATCATTCCCAGGATAGCAAGCTCTGCCGATGTATCTCAGCTCTGGTGGAGTTTGCCAACAGACTTTCTGTCTTGGGCACTCTTGATCTCTAAATAGGCTTCTTTGCAGGCAGTCATGGGCAGATGTGTTATCTGCCAGCTTCTCTCACGGGTTGATGCAAAATAACCTCTAATGCACTTCACTTGCTGGATAAATTTAGAGGAGGCTGGTGTAGGCCACATGACTCTAAAACTGTCAGAAATCTTCAAAAAGGAAAACATGGTGATAATTAAAAGTCACAAAAATGACTCTCAGCAACTCTGCTGTTTTGGTTCAGTTGGTTTTGACTTTGATTATAAAAAATTCACGTGTGGACAAAGAGAATGTTACTTGGAGCGCATGGAACAGAAAGAACAAAGGAGCAGACGAACGATAAAGTGCAATATGGCTAAAGCAGTGGCTAAAAGCCGATAGCTAAGAGCTTGTAGCTAAGAGCAGATGGCAAAGATCAATGTGTGAAGTGATCACAACTGTTTTATCCCCTGGGGGCTGGTGCACGTTTCAGGGTCGTTTCCCATCTTCTCCTTCGTTTCAACTTGGAGAAGAGAGTCATTTTCCATGGAACTTTTTAATTGTTTAATTCTAGAGTTTATCTATAAAACTCGCACTTTCGTCTTAAAAGTGGTAAACTGATAAAACAACATAGTAAACATTTCCTAAAGCTAATAATAAATGAGGATTACACAGCAGTTCTTTGAATTAACCCTTTGACTATAATAGTACTAATAAAGACGGATGTGATGTAGTGTGTGTCACCTTGTGTGAAGGGTGATGACAGTATGGTCACATGAAGGACATTGTCTTAAACCTACATGTTACATTTCAACCATTCTTGAGGATTCAAATCTGGGATTTACCTATTACATGGAAACATCACATAGGTTACAGAACAGTTAGATATTTCATTTTCTATTTTTCTCAGATCTGTGTCTGTGAAGAGAGTTCTGCTGGTCACTGCTCAGGATTGGAATGTGGGTTGCAGTTTAAGACTCTTATCTAGAGAAGGACAGAGGGAAAGGGGGAAAGACTAGTTTGTGTGTGTGTGTGTGTATTCATGCATGCATGTTTCAAATTGGAGATTTTAATTGTTTTCTCGAATTTGCCTGGTCATCCATTCATTGATCCTCTGGAGCTGACCCTTTGACCCTTGGTCTGGTTGTGCATCTCTCTGACATGCTAAAAGCATGGTCTGTTTGTGAGAGAAGGGTCCTTTGTCTTGATGGTGGGAAGAGTAACAAAGTGTCAAATTTGGGTCCATAACTCATGTCCTTGAATTGAACACAATGAAATTATTTTGACTGTTGCCAGACCAGGTATGTCCGCTACAGTAGTGAACAACCGATGGTCACTAACCAAGCAATATATACAGTACAATACACTATAATCATAGGATGATGATGAGAAAGCAGTGCCCCTCTGACTCTGGACTGACTCAGTCTGAACTGTTTGTTCACTTCATCTTTTTCTCTATTTTCAGTTCTTCTAAAATCACTTCTCTTATTTTAGATCATCTGTGAGTCACTCGGTTGGCATTTGGACAGCCAACACTTATGGGAAACATGCTCATGTCATCCAAACACCCAAGTGCTGCTCATGGTGAGAACTGTTTGTTTCTCTCTTTAGTATTCTAAGGTCTTAACCTGACTCTGTAAAGAGCCTTGAGATGAGGTTTGTTTTGATTTGGCGCTAAATTGAATTGACTAGAAGCAGCTTGTTTAGTCCACACCAGAATCTAATCAGTAGTAAGCTGAGACCTCCATCCCCGACTGAACTTGGGCTGAGACCGTCTGAAAAGGTTTTTGTCTGTACCAGAGTTTGCATCAAGGATGCCTGAGATCTGTTGATTGACCAACATAAACAAATCACAGAGGAGTTTGTTTCCTCTGAATCTCACAACAATGAGACCGTTACAGACATTTAACATGAACAGTCTATAACAAACCACAGTCCAAAACCCAGAGTCACAGGATGTCTCATAAACCATAACACAGTGGGGACAATTACACCAGATCCACGCGGATGGTGGTTTGATGAGCTTCAGGCATAAGCATCAGTCACATGACCACAGAGAAACCACAGAAACCTGAGCGTGATGAACCTTCCTCTGTGCTGTTTATCCACATTTATCATCATTATTGTTATTACTCGCTGCTAACTCCTCCCATGTCTTATTTACTCATATTTGATTAACGATTGGGTTAGTGAGCTGCAGGTGTCTCATTCAGCTCAACATGGACATTGTATTTTATCTTGTTGTTGTTGTAATGTGTGTCTCCATGTCTTTATAAGGTTTTTTAGTTTAGTTTATTTTGAACATGTGCGAGTAACACAACAAAGTAAACTGAAAAACAAACAAATCCAATAACAATAGTCAAAACAAAAATAATAATGTTAACCCAACATGTCCGAAAAGGAGTAGGATGAAGCATATGCTTATTTAAACCTACCCCTTCTCCACTACTTATTTTAACATGGTTTTGCATGGGCTTGCCACACCACCTTTGAATTAATTCAATAAACTGACAGTGGCATTGGAACTACAGAGACCATTAGAGGGGGCTGTTAGATGCACCACATTTGGACAAACTGTCAGTAAAGGGAAGTAAATATTTGATTGACTAACCAATTACAATAAGGGAGTGTCCTACATATCCCACCTTTAAGACACACCTCACACATTAAGTCAAACCAGATTTGTAATCATATTTGAGAAATAAATAAAAATAATACACAATTAACAGATAAATAAATGTCTGAACAGTGGACCTCGCTTCTGTATCACTGCACTCGTGTTTCTGTTTCCTGTCTGGGTCTGAGAAGCTGAAAATGATCCAGCTGATTAACACAATCATCTACAGAGAATAGAATAAAAACTTTGAGGTACTGGACTGTTCAGAGCTTCACTCTGGAGTCAGATGTTGGGATTTTCAAATTAAAATTAAATAACAGAAGAAGCCAATATTTAAACCTTGAAGCTGTATGAAGTGTAGCGGACTGAACATCTTTAAAGGTGTAATGTGTAAGGTCGTGCTACTTGCTCCACCTCCATAGGGGGCAGCATTTCACCTGTTCGCCCGCGTCCAGTTAATCATGTTGTTTTCCCCAAGTTCCTTATAATTAATTTGTGTGCATTTATTGTTGACATTTTTGAACTTGTTGATAGCACTGAAGCAAATTATGAATACTTGTAATACAAACAGTATGTTTTTATTTACCTATAAAAATATGAAGGCAAGGGGATACTGCATGACACATGGGTGTCAGGTAGCAGCATAAGGAAGGGATGATGACATCATCACAAAGGCAGAATCAGAAAATAAGGTTTACTGCAAGATAGTTATTTTACTTACAAGATATTTGGCTTGGTGTAGTATGCAATAAATGTATTTATAGGAAATAATAAAAAGGTAAAATACTGCAACAATCAAAAAGATAAATATACATAGATAACAGTGTTAATGAAAATGATACTACACAAAAATTCTATACCTATGTAAAAAAGTGCTGACAAAAATCCTGCTGAGCAGGATGTGCAAAAGATCACAGTATAGACAATATCTGTTATGTGCAGGGATAATACTCCAAGGTGTTACTGTAGTGTGGTTGTTGATGATTGATGAGGCCAGGCGGAGAAGAAATCTCACCCAGTGAACCAGCACCTTGTCTGGACTGGAATTCTGTTCCTGATACAGAAAAACATGTGATAGGACAATTTGTTTAGCTCATACAAGTTCTTTACATTCAAACATGTTAGGTCTGTTGTGTGTGTATAATAAATTGTGAGGATAGATGTGAATATGCAAAAATAAACACAGTATGAATATTATGACATGNCAGCACCTTGTCTGGACTGGAATTCTGTTCCTGATACAGAAAAACATGTGATAGGACAATTTGTTTAGCTCATACAAGTTCTTTACATTCAAACATGTTAGGTCTGTTGTGTGTATAATAAATAGTAAGGATAGATATGAATTCCAAAAATACAGTATGAATAATGGCATGAACATGCTGAAATATACTATATACACACACACTAGATAGATACTTTTATTCCCTAGGGGATATTCATGTGTCCATTAGCTCTTTGTTGATAATGATAATAATAAAAACTGTTAATAAATAAACAATAATAATTAGATTAGTCCACTTCCATTGGCTGAGATGTTGTATAGCCTGATGGCAGTAGGAACGAAGGATCTCCTGAACCTCTCTGTTCTGCAGCGCAGTGAGATGAGATGTTTGCTTCTGTGGCTGCTTCTCTGTCCTGCCAGAATGTTGTGGAGAGGATGGTTGGTATTGTCCAAGAAGGCCTCCATTTTACATTGCACGCATCTCTCCACAACAGTCATGAGTGAGTCCAGACTCCTGCCAAGCACAGACCCAGCCTTTTTTTTTTTTTTTTTTTTTTTTTTTTTTTTTTTTNTTTTTTTTTTTTTTTTTTTTTTTAAAACCAGCTTGTCCGATCTCTTTGTGTTCATGTCAGACATGCTGCTGCCCCAGCAGACTGCAGCATAAAAAAAGTACACTGGCCACCACTGATGATAAAACATGTGCAGCATTTCACTTCAAATGTCAAAGGACCTGAGCTTCCTGAGGAAAAAGAGCCAGCTCTGCCCCTTCAGGTAGATGGCATCTGTGTTCAGGGACCAGTCCAGTTTACTGTCCAGGTGCACACACCTAGGTATTTAAAAGTGTGCACCACCTTAATGTCCTTCCTTCAAATGTTGACTGGCTGGTGTTCAGAAGGAGGCAGTTCTTGTCATCCCATTCACTCAAGGCCATCGTCAGATCCCTGTGTTCCTCTTCCTGCCCATTCCTGATAAACGCCACAATAGCTGTGTCATCCCAGTATTTCTGGCTGTGGCAGGACTCAGTTGTATTTAAAGTCCGCCGTGTACAGGGTGAACAGGAACGGAGCCAGAACAGTCCCCTGTGGAGCCCCAGTGCTGCTCACCATTGT